TTCAGTGAACATATTTTGAGAGTCGCGAGATCGTGCATCGTGCTATTTAGGAGTCTCCCTTTGTCCATTTGGTCAACGTGCACCGAGACCCATATTTTCCTCCGTAATCGGATTTGATAAGAACAACCTTATTTTAACATTTATTCTCTCGAGTGCTTGAAAGAGGCTCTCGGTTGTTTCAAACCTGCATAATTTTTTTCGTAGAACCATGGCATTTCTTTGCCCCATCTGGCAGGCTACTTTTTGAGATCCCGAGTCTTTTACGCTGGAACATTCACCGGTAACACATTTATCAAACGCGCTTTTTGGTCAATCCGTATTCGATACCGCACGCGAATTACAGCCGTCTGAAGCGTTTCATTTTCGTCGGGAGATTGAGATTTCATCTGTATTTGCAACGACCTTTCTTGCCAGTCAATTCCACTCTGTATGTAAAGTTAAGCATGTGCGCTAAATGTCCCAATAAACATTAAGCAACCATACTTACCTCTTCGAGATGCTACTTTATGAAGCATGTGAGGTAAATGTCCCAATAAACACTAAGCCACCATACCCCCTTGAGATGCTACTTGAGCGCTTCGCGGTCCAAACCCCCTCAAGCACTTCGTGCCTCGGGCGTTGATGCATTTCGCGTTATACTCTGATTTCATATCGTAGAATTAGATTTTAATACAAATATAATATGTTCGATGCATTTCTCCCCGCGTTTTTTTCTGGAAACACTGGAAAAAAACACATTGGATCTAGAGTCCGGACTCTTAAAAACACCGAAAAAAAATACTTTTGATTCATTCGGATTTTTGCTTAAATCAAGAACCAAGCCTCTTAATTTTGAGCGGATTTCCTTTTGATTCAAGCAAAAATATGATTGAATCAAGAGTATTTTTTCTTGTCAATGTTTTCAAGAGGCTGGACTCAAGATCCAATGTGTTTTTTTTTCCAGTGAAGAAGGAATTTTCTTTTGTTATGTGAATAATTTACACACTTTCCTGCAATAGGCGGAAACAGGAAAGGCGGAAGGGGTCGGTCCCTGAAAAATCTACCCGACTCCAGAAATGTGATTTATTTCGCCGATTAAGTTCAAGGCGATGGCGTGGACGTCCTCTGAAAGGTTGGCGCCAAGGGATGGAGGAGGAGATCAGAAGGTGCCAATTGCCTCATGATCTCTGGGAGGATAGAGGGCAATGGCGATTGGGCGTCGCAGAGCGCGAGGCTGCGGTATAAAAGCGGCTTTATGTATGAATGCATGTAAGTTCATGACACGTCTTTTATCTTTTTAAAGATGATGCGATCAATTTTTGGAGAGAACAGCTTCAAACTGCCCCCGCCGAGACTACATATTCCAACATGTTCCACGGGAGGCCACCATAAGGCTGCTCCTCCTCCACTGAAAGTAATTAGTTCCGCCCATGCTTATTCCGCGGATGACGATGAAATTTAATAAAATATGTCCACGGTATAAGCTAATTGAAGTATAAAAGGCATCACTTGTTGTTTCTAATAATATGCTCATTATACACGTTGCGCCACAGCTTGATGCACGAAAACCAAACGGGAAATCTGCAATCAATTGCAACCACAAAAATTCGTCAATAATCTCTATCTGACTTGAGTAGTTGGACTATGAATTGCACTTATGCATACATATTGCACACGACGAATTTAAGGAGAAAATTCCGTTCCCGAAAATTGCATCTCATGTCTGGGGCGACGCGCAGAAACTAAGATTCAAACTTTAACTCTCTATTACCCTCACAACCTTTCACTCGCAATGGAATTCTTCAGAACTTGTCTGCTATATCAGCTGATGCTTATTAGGACGTAGGTCGAAGGTCTTTTCAGCCGGCGCGGCACCACTGGCTCTCTCGAAACTCCGCGCACGCTTTGGCCGTGCGCCGCCAGAGCGCGCTTCCATATTTTATCTTCCATACTGTTTCTTTAGGGAACCTCTGGCGACCCTGAATGAGGGGTATACATTTTTTTTAGGTTCAATTAGTTGGGAAAAATATTTGTTGACTTTCATCTGTCTATTTTGAAGAATAATTACAGGTATTGCTGACTGCAAGCATTAATGAAGAGGCATTTCGCAATGTATCGGACACAAATCGATCCGGTTGAGTCATTAGAGATTTCCGAACGCCCTCCGGAGACCTATTGGTTCCGATGCTCGCCGAATTGTGTTTCACACCCAGGTGATCGGCGTAGAGTGCTGAAATGCCACGCCGATCGGAGATCATCAGGCCTGCGGAAGCTGTCCCGTGCCGCCCTCTTTCGCCTTCGAAAGCGCGCTGTATAGGTCCTCCTAGCAGTTGGTCGACCAGTAGCATTCGGAATCGCTACATGGTCTCCCCCCATTATTACAAGTATTCTCCTTTGTCCTTCTTTTCACTTTCGTGTCTGCGAGCGGCGCTGCATGGGCTTTTTTGCAGACGATCGACCAATAGCGTTTGGAACAAAGACATGACGTCGTCATGTCTTTGTTCCAAACGCGCTCCGTCGTAATGTTGACGACGGAGCGCTAGAAGAAGAAAAATGAAGCCACCTCTCCGATTGGCTGGAAAATGGACGGCCCAACCGGAACGGGTTTGAAATTCAAATTAGGAGCGGCAACGGAATAAAAATTCGTAAACAAAGTGTTCTAAGTTGATTTTTGCTCAAGTTTACTTACCCACATATATTTCTTTAACTACCTTCAGATTACTTTGGTCGGTCATTGACCGATTAATCTCATTTGGGAGTAACGATTATCCAGGATTGTGACGGCCTGTTTGAATCTGTGGAATCAATACGAGCAAGAGAAAAACTAACTTTATCTGTTTTTTTCTTCTTTTTTTTTTAAAAAAATCGATTTCCTTAACTTTAAAATTTTGAAAAAAGGGAGGTAATCTATTTTTTTTTTTTTTGTGCAAGCTACCACATTCAGTATTGTCCCCTAGAATCTGAGAACCAAAAGTAATCGATGCCATGGAGGCTAAGGGGTACTTCTCGAAGTAATTTTTGTTAGGGAAGACATTGAACCATTTTTAAACGTTTACGTTTTCATCAATCAAGATACGAGCTTGGAAAGTTTTTACATCATGTCCGAACTCGGGCGTGAAGCTAGCGCGCTAACGAACGGAGCCGGTGCGGACGGGACAAGGACAAGGGACATCCCTGACGGTGTTTTTGCAGCCGCTTTGATGAGCCGCTTGTTTGCTCCTGTCGAGGGATTTGCGCCCGCCGAGGCGGCGCGGCCCATCCTGTCCCGTCGCGGAGCTTTTAAATAATAATCCAGGATTTCGGCGTGTCAGGTCGCGAACTTTCCCGGATCGCTTTTGAGTGATTCGCTGTTAATTACCGGAAATTCCAGAGGTTGACACTCCCGAACAGGCTCATGAATAGCGACTCCGCTTTGGGAATAGTCCATTGAGCGCCGCATTGCCGCTCACACAGACAATTCTGCCGTGCTAAGGAAGAACGCCGTATGAACATTCGAGAGTTGCCAAATATCCCTCGATAAAACATGTATTTTTTACAACAATCATGCATATTTTTCCTTGAAATTTTCAGATATTTTAGATTGAATTGCGTACAAAATTGTCTGAAACTCATAGAAATAAATATTCACAATTTTTCCAGTAAATTCGGTTTTTATCGGAGGAAATTTGGCAACGCTCGAAGGTTCATACGGCGTTTTTGCTTAGCGCGGCAGAATTGAGCGTATTCGATAGTGGTTCGATGTATCGTTTGCTTCGAAACAATAGAACATAACCTCAAACAAAACTTTTAGGATTTAATTTGGAAAAGCTGAAAATGAGAAAATTCCTAACAATTTCACTTTAATTGACATTTGATACTCGAAAGAATAAAAATTAAATCATGAAAGACCCCCGTTACCTCAGATTTCTAAATTGATTTCTGAGGCTATGTTTACATGTTGAACCAATCGATATCGATACAATCTCACCTGTGTCATGTGTGGAATACGATCTGTGTTTCGTCACCTTCCGATCAAAGTATCACAAGCGTCATGCGACGTTTCATTTTTTTACAGGGAAATTGCTCAACGAAGCTCACTGAAAATTTCGCCAAATTTTCTTCGTGCCGCCGATAAAATTCAGTTAAATTTTCGAACAGATCTAACCAGTAATTTCTCGGTAAGAAAATAAAATGACAGCGGAAATTTTGAAACGTCGCATGGCGCTTGATACTTCGGGCGGAAGGTGACTATATTTCAGCGACCTCTCACTGATAATCTAAGCAATGCGATCGGGTTAACCAAAGTTAAATTCGAAAGACAACGCTGCTTATCGTCCAGTGATGATCGATGAGCAATTGAACTGTATTTTGCAATTGGGAACTTTAAATTCTGGCTCATTTGAAAAAACACTCATGTGCATAGGGAAACTAATGGCACATACGTTGTTTTTAAACCGGGCCAGAATTTTTAGTTCCGAATTGCAAAATGCAGTCCAATTGATCGAGCATGAAACTCGCCAGACGATAACTGATGACTGTCAGAGTGAGCATTTGGCTCTAGGCGCGAGTTGATGCTTAGTAGGTAAAACGGTCGGATACCTAGTAGAATCAAAGTCCGATCAAAGTACATCATTTGCTGGCTGTTGGTCACCATGCAATAATCTACTACGATCAAGATGGAGTGCCACCATTCATTATTCCTTTTCACTCGGAAAATTTCTTCCCAGTTCTCATTTGAAAATAATGCGAAGTAACGCACTTAGGACTGATGACCCCCGATACTCAGACGGAAATTAGTTCGAACTATGCGACTATCCGCGTTGACTTCTGAAAGTAAATACTCTTTGCGAAAGATAGCTGTTCGGGGTCTTGAAAATATATTTCTCTGAAGTTCTCTGGAGATGAGTTTCATGCGTTCGGCTAAGAAATGGACCTGGTCCATTAGCTGTGATCAGTTCAATGTCTTTCTTGGTTTGCATTTTTTTCTGTTGTTAAATGTGCGTATACAAAAACTAATGATCGAATTTTTTTGTGTGTTACAGGTTGCAGGTAAGATTATTGGAGATACCTTGGTTCAATTACCTGCTACGTCTAATTGTCAGTCCCGTAAGTTTAGTATATGTTATAAATAAATCAATGCATTTATCGATTGACTCATTTTCTTATCATTAAAATCATTTACCAAAAATTATTGTCTGGGATGAAAACATTTGTAAATAAAAATGTACCGATAAAGTATGAAACTAAATTATTAAGCTGCAAGAACTTCAAAGTAAAATATCAAAATAACGAATTACAATTCATTTTCTTAAATTTTTTAAGAATCCTCTAAAGGGAGGAACTCCTGCAAGTCAATTCTAGCAGTCAATTTAAGCTTTTGCAATCTTATCAACTGAATAACTAGGGGATACCGTTTGCGTATTAGTTCAGAGTTGCATCATCCCTTTTTGAATGCTTAATTAAATACATTTTAATTAGTCATTTTTGATGTTTTAATTTGAAGTTCTTGGCTAGCTCAATGATTTTGATTTCTACTCTACTGTTTACCAGTAAAGTTTTATTTAAGCACAATTTTTTATGTACAAATATTTGGTATTTAATTTAAATGATACGGAAATGAGTTTACCAAGATTAATATTTTAAGATTTAAAATGTTCAAAATAATATAGATTCATATCCCCCCCCCTTCTACCTTCAAGATTGGTCTTTTCGTAGAGCATTTTTTGACAGAAACTGAACATATCTTCATAGGCATACCGTGGACATGAATTTTTCTAAAAAAAATTCAGGATTTTTAATATCGACGGTGGAACTATCAGACCACGAATCTCGGTTTTCGAAGTTTTAGACTTCTTGTCATACTTCATTTTTTAAATGGAAAAGTTTTTTAAAGTCAGTTCTCCAAAACTCCCGTGATTTTCCTCCTCTGTGTGAAGAAAACTCTGTGAAAATTTTAAGGAATGATCTTAAAATAAGCCAGACTCCAGTATTTGCTCGAGCAGAACGTGATGTGACTAAATGGGCCTGTTGCAAACTTTTGCTAGAGCAAAAACAAGAGTTGTTTCTTATAGATAATGCCTCAAAAATCACGATGAGCGCATCGGCAAAGTCTGAAATGCACTCATAACTTCACAGTCTGCGTAAGAAATTTGCGGTTTTTTGAGCCTCCCGCTTCAAAAACGATACTACGGCACAGGTGAACATTTTGTAAGAGGAGTCGTTCCATCGTCGGCAATAATCATCATGGCCGACGCCAATCCGCCAAAACACGTTTGATGGGACGAGATAACACCTGAAATGGATTAGACCAGATAACAATCGGTGTGTTAACGTTCATATTTTCCACGCCCGCATTGATTGACCTTGAACTCTCCTCGAATTACGCGCGGAACTGCGCGCAAGCGCCGGCCATGATGAATATCGCCGACGATGGAGCGACTCCTCTAACAAAATGTTCACCTGTGCCGTAGTATCGTTTTTGAAGCGGGAAGCTTAAAAAAACGCTAATTTCTTACGCAGATTGTGAAGTTATGAGTGCATTTCAGACTTTGCCGCTGCGATCATCGTGATTTTTAAGGCATTATCTACAAGAAACAACTCTTAATTTTGCTCTAGCAAAAGTTTGCAACAGGCCCATTCTGTTGGCAAATCTTGACATTGCAACAACCACCATTTTTTCGGATTTGCCCGGGCTTATCGCGCAAGAGAAATAGACTTGAGCATATAAAAACTGACAGAAGTCAAAATTGCCAAGTATGTAGCAGAAACGCACCTTCAAATTTCTTCTATTTGGTTGTCGTGATAAGGAGGCTGTCGATGATTCATCTGTCATCGCGGGAATCGGTTCCCTCGGACGGACTTGGGTTCAAAGTGGCGGCTCGCCAACATGCCTTTGGTCCGTCGGATTATGGAGTAGGTATGCAATACCACATTTCTCCGGAGTAGTGTTCAGTGGCGTGGCGCGTGCATTGCGATGTATCGATTGATTTAAACCTATGGAACAGAATCGATAAACAGGGGTGTTCTTAATAAACACCTTAATAATCGATTCTTTACTATGGCTTCAAATGGGGAAATATCGATAATCGATTGTTCACGCCACGCCACCGGTAGTGTTGGTTACGTCACGCGAATTCAGTCGATCTGAAGAGCCTCTTCACTAACCCACCTATCCAAGCCTGAGTGTGCACTGAAATCTGTTGCGAACAATAATAGTAGTCCGAGATTTTTATATTATAGACTATTTCCCCTTCAGGCGACTGTGTAGGCAGTGCTGCAATTCTCCGGCAACGCATTGCTCTCGCATCACTCAAGTTGATGATCGATTTTGATCAAAAGCGGTCGCGCAGCCCTTCACCCACTTGAGCGTGCATTAAAAGTGGTGTGTCATGCATTGAAATACATACACAAGAGTCGCTTCCACAGCGCTCTCTGATGATCTGCGACACCGAGCCGCCAAAGTCCCTAATCCTCCCGAAACCGTTCAGGATTTTACAGCGCTATGGTTAAATGTATTATTACAATATATTTTAATCAACAAACTAATTGAAGAAACCTATCCATGGCGTGTTGTAGAGTTAGTGCTGAGGAGTATGACATCCAATTTTTTCATTTTTTTTTTTTTTTTTTTTTTTTTTTTTTTTTTTTTATGAAAAGAAGGGCGAAAGTTTATTTTTACATTGAGCCTTATGCAGGAATAAAACTTCAAACCTCTGTTTCTCAGTTTCAACTTAATGTGGGTTGGCTCCCTTCTAATGAACTCGGTTCAATTATTCAAATCAGGAGGGTAGTGGGCTGCTGATCACAGCCTCCGAGAACTGAAGTAAATTTCCCGTAAATTGAGCTCATTAAAGATCCAGGATGTTGAAGTCGCTCATTGATTATCCTGATCGCTTCTCTCTAAGCGACATCAAAGGCTTCAAAGGCAAAGGCCGCTGTTGACCAGACGGGCCAAGCGGGAAAATGCTTGTCGTGATGCCTGCAATCTGGAGGGAATTTCGCGGCGGAGGCTGAGCTGGAAGGAGGCGCGGGGGCATTTATCTAGATGTGAAAGATTCGGCTTATTAGCTCGTCGAGACTCGCCGGTTGCTCATCGTTTTAGTCTATGGCTCGGCTCGGCGCAAGATCGCCCGGTTGTGCGATAGAATGTACAAAGCTTAAATGGGTCTATGTGGAAATAGTGCTCGTTTTTCAGCAGCATCTGGCAACTATGGCTCGGCGGCTATCACCGCAATGACGCGTCGCACCGTGGATCAAGTCTGAGGCAAAATACGGACATAATTTGGAAACATTTGGGTCAAGTCAAAAGGGTTTTTTTTTGGTAAAAGAATAGCAAAAAAAAGCACAGATTGTTTTGTCCTGGAGGATTGAGGATCCTCAAACTTCCACCTACCCCCCACCCGCCCAAGTAAACTTTACTTTTCGATATTCTTAAGGCCATGGGTGAATTTTGTCTTAAGAAGTAGGGTGACTATCCATTTTTCATGAGTTTCGGTCTATAACTTAATGAAGTCTTTAAAATTCAAAAATAACGCCGATTTTCTCAAAAAATAGGGAGAGGGGGCGGGATAGTTCCTTCGGGAGACATTTTTCAAGAGGAAAAACTGTCTCCTTTTTACCCCTAGAAAACACTCCAGCAGCATGACCGTTTAATCCTGGGAAACCGTGTGTATCTTTATTGTTAAAACGGAACGTAGAGGTTTCAAACGGATTCTTCAGAATTTTCCACAAAAAAACACCATCAAGATGTGCTATGGGGCGAAATCAACATCAAAATTAGCCCTTTTCACAAACAACTTATTGTCCGCATAGGCGGTTCTAGACCTTCATGCTTGGGGGTGCCCAGAGGTGGAAAATGACGAGATCCCCCCTCCCCCCATCATCCCTTGCCCATAATCATTGAATACTGGACACCTGCAGATTTCAAAAATTCATGAAATAAAAATATTGCCAATTTTTTGCGCTTCATAATACGATTTTTTCTCGACGTTTTTCCCCTAAAGCCTCTTTCACGGTTCCGCTAACCGTACTTTTGCTTGGGGGTGCCCGGCACCCAGTGGCACCCAGTGGCACCCCCGTAGAACCGCCTATGATTGTCCGGCCTTCTCCATGGACTCATCCCACTGTGCGACGCGCCGCGCCGCCACTCGAGCCAAGCCTCATCGCTCTCCTCGATGAGCCCAAAGAAAACCTCACGAGTCCATGAATCAAGATCCCCGCACACCCTTGCCAAGTTGCCACACCCCTCGAAATGTGCCTAGTTTTTTGTTGATTCCACCGACGCTTAATAGCGCTATAACGAACGGATTTTGCCATCGGATATGATACGAACTTCAAAATGCGGTCAATGCTAGAAACCGGATTCTTAAAGTCGTTCCTTAAATAGCTCATTTCCGTAGGAGGCCCCATGCGTTTTACATTTTGACTGCTAGCCGCCACGCGGTTCTACCTAAATGGTGCTTCGTCCTCTCCAAGGCTTACTTCGCGGGCCCTCGAGAATTAATCTAAAGAAAACGGCGGGCAGACGTGTGGGGACTAATTTCAATTGATAAACCAGGAAAATCGGCCTGGTATTAACGGTAGACACTCAGAACGAATTGCAAAAAATGAAAATGTCAAGGAGTCCGAGAGCTTATAATCATGACAAACGGAAATATCCTTAAGGTGATTCGATGGACGCCATATTATGTGTCAGAACGGCATGCGATACATCGCATCAATTGGTTCCATTTTTTCAGCTACTCGTCATTTTCCTCCAATTTTGAGATCGCAATTCTGTTGTCAGGAGACTAAAGCACTCACTTGCCAATTTTTACAAACAAATTCAACGTAATAAAGGCGTGGTTTTTTTAGAGAAAAAATATCGCATTCGATACTGGTATCGAAACTACACTCGAATGCGATATTTTCTCTCTGAAAAAACCACGCCTTTATTACGTTGAATTTCTTCGTTAAAATTTGTGAGTGAGTGCTTTAGTCTCCTAACAACAGAATTGCGATCTCAAAATTGGAGAAAAATGACGAGATGCTGAAAAAATGGAACCAATTGA